ATTTCAATAAGAAAATTGTTCATTTATAAGAGAGATCAACCGGAACTTTTAACGGAATAATTAATTGTTCTAGATTTATATAAGAAGATTATTTAATTGATTGTAATTTTATTATGATAGTAGGAGGATAACAAATATGACAAGAAACGCGTATAATCGCTAAAACGTTTACGCGTAAATCGTTTTATGTCTGTATTTAACAGAGGAGGCAAACCGCGGTGTTGGTAATTAAAGCCTCGCTCTCTCTCTCGTAGTCGCTTACGCCATTGCCACCTACATTCGCTATAAATAGGCATGTTTTGCCAAGAGTTTAGCACGTAATGCGTGCAGGCACGCGTATCGGCCGCACTTTGCCCGACGCATCTACTAGCCATCGGTTGTCGACGCTTCGCGTGTTTCTCAACGGACGCGAATTTTATTTATTTTATCTATTAATAATTTGTTTCCATATCGATACACATTTTAATATCAATTTATTAAAAGTCCCGTGTATTAAGTTAGTAGCACAGAAGAAAAAGAACAAAAAAGAAAGTAAAATATGTAAATCAGATTTCCGTAGCTGATTCGAAAGAAAAGATACAATAATCATTTCTTTGACCATACAAAATATCAATTTGTTAATCATAAATTATAAAAACAATAAAATAAAGCGTATAATCCTATAAAGGATTATTAAATTGAAGCAAAAAATATAAAACTAAACGTAAATAAATTTCCCGTCGATTTCGAATCGTTCGTTTTGAATAAATTTCGAACAAAAATAAAAAGCGTAACGAGAGATGGAGAGACAGAAAGAGAGAGAGAGAGAGAAACGGGGAGAGAGAAAGAGATAGATAGGAAGAGAACACAATTATTTAAAATATCGTGCGTAAATGATTATATATCGCATATAGTAACGGATAGTAGTCTGTACTATCGCGCGATCCGATTAAAACTTAGTCGACTGATTCGCGTGGCGTCGTTCGCCAATGGCGGCTGAACCATCGATTGGATTTCCCTGGAATGAAACGTAAATATTTTAGAAGCCGAATCGTGTATCGTGTAACTCGATGTTGCGTTCGAGCATAGTATGCATTTCCGCAGTCGTTTGCGCTATATCTCTCCCTAGTTCATATGCGCACGCGCCCGCACACGTACGACAGATAGAAAAAGAAATAAAGAGACTAATAGAAATATATACATATATATATATATATATAGATAAAGAGAGAGAGAGAGATAGAGAATGAAGAAAGGGAACTAGAGGGTAGTAGAGATCGATTGTCCTTGCCTCTCAAGGCTGCTGCCGGTGCTTGGTCGAGGAGGGTGAGTTGAAATAGAATTTATAGCATACGCTTCTGGCATATTAATAGAACCGACAACACGGTTCGTCCACGACGACAACGACAACGACAACGACGACGACGACGACGACGACGACGAAGCCACTGCCAGTCCAATTTACACGACTCCGTTGCACGCAAGTTACGGAAATAAGAACCAAAGCAAGATCCGCTCATTTTCTCTAATTTTTTATTTTCCCTTTTTTACCTTATTTTACTATTACATTTTTCTCTCTTTCATGATATAACGACGTGAAACCAGTTACACGTTCGATGATTAAAAGTACTTTACTATTCGTTTTGTAATTAATTCGTTTATTGCAGAGTTATGTAAAACAGTTGTTACACGCGAGATAGAAATTGCGTTAGTGTTTTTTTTTATAAAGTATAAGAGTAATGAATACAGTTCTCGAAATTCAAGAGAAAATTAATATGATTTTATTACTTGTTCCAGGTTAAATTCATATACATAGATCATCGTGTAGAGTATCAATTTTTATGTTGAGATATACACGTGAGAGGTGTCCATACCGTCAAAGAGTAGAGGAAATTGGATGGTGGATGGAAAAAGGATTCTTGTATGGAAAATACAAGGGAATAGGTCGTTTCCCGACCGTCCAACGTTCAATGTTTCTCAAAAATCGCTCGTTCGTTTATCATCGATGAAATTTTGAACGGTGAAACGAACGAGCGTTGAGATATTTCTTACTCTATGGTATATACTGTACCAGATGGTTTCGTTCTACAGTATGTCTCGTTCACATTATCCTTTTTATTTGATTTTATTTCTTTTTTTTTTCTTTTCTTTTCTTTTCTTTTCTTTTCTTCTGTTTTCCAACGAAATATTTACGTAGATCGTTAGAAATATCAAGGAATTTGCGAAAGTTTTTATTCTATGGATTGATAAATACTGTGCCATATAGGATTTTTACAGTAGCAAATGATCGTATGTTCTAATTATCTAAGTAGGGAACCTACATTACTAATAAAAATAATGTAAAAGAAGGTCGTTCTTAAATTGGTTGTGAGTGGAAGATCGATTGCCCCTCTAACGCGTTTTCCCAATCGATCGGACGGTCGTGACCGGTAGTAATAAAAAACAGAAAAAAAGAAGAAGAGAAAAAAATAAACCTGAACTTTCAGACACAGTGCAGTGATAACTCGACGAATGTAATATCCGTTACTAATTGGTCGCAATTAGTAACCAATTCGTTGGATCCGTTCCATTATTATGATGCTACGAGCCTAAAAGAGAATCTCTTTAATTAATCGTTAATTAGCGGCTGATAACTGTAATCATCAGTCGTGTGATTAATTGACAACCTCGCGGTATCTATTCTCGCCTAATTTTTTCGATTTGTTCATTTTCAAATAAAGAAAGAAATAGAAAAGAGAGAAGGAAAATCAAACGACCCAAATCGAAAACAATTATGCTTAACCTATTCAAGGCTTTTAAACACACATCTGGACACATTTCGTTTGATTTGTATATTTTATATATTATAATATTTACGTATACATTTTATTTTGAATTATTTATAAAAATTATAATATAATATATATGATTTATCGTAAATAAAATCAAGAAATAATTCTTTATCGTTAGAAAACGAAAAATCAATCCTTGATAAGATTAATTCCGAGAAAGTTGATTAAAAAGAAATTCATCTTTTCTATACAATATGACATTAATACAGGGTGGTCCATTTAAGTAAGACCACTTAAATATCTTTTCGGCTTATTGCGATGCAAAAAAATAATTATTACGTAATGTGCATAATATCAAAGGATCAACATCTGGTAATAATATATTTGTCCCAAGATTATTATTTTCCAAATTATCAAAGTAATCGGTGGTTTTTGTCACAGAACTACATTTTTTATTGTACATCGTGTAACTTATCGAAAAAATATATTAAAATACGTATAATAATATGCCCTTGAAATGAACTTGATCTTCGAAAATTAAAGTTTAGGTATCACGCATTCGCACACATACACACATAGATACGGACTGTTTGTGTATAAGCTGATGCACAATTATGATTGAATAATATTCGTTGTCTTTGTCATAATCGTCGTTGTCATCGTCGTCGTTGTCTTTCGTAGTCGTAACGTCACGTGCTGCTCTCGGACACTGTCACGATTTGCGAGATCGTTATATTAATTTAGGGTTAACGCTCATTAAAACTTGACGATAGCTCTCGTTGTATTTCGAACGATAACGACGGACGGGACGGGGCTAAAATCTCTCCCAGTTGTTGATTATTATGCAATGATTACCGCGTGCAACGCGCGCCGCGGCGTTTTGTTTCATCTTCGTTACGAAACTTGTTCGGTACGCTCGAACGAGAGTAATTATAACGGAACTTCTCTCCTTCCCTTATCCTTCTTCTATCCTCTCTTTCTACCCAGTTCAACTGATTTTACATGGGAATTGCTCTCAACTTCCGGCTCGTGCAATATTTCTCTCTCGATAACCGATAGATGTACGTACGTTAAGGAATCTAGATCATATGTTATTAGTTCAAAGTCTTTAATCTTTAACTTATTTTAACATTTAACCCATTCAATAAGACTTTATTATTTTTTCGTCACTATTCTTGTTACTGAATATCATTTTATCGGTGGAGAAGTAGCATTTTTAATTAAATTATATCGCGTAATATTAATTATTGGTCGAAAGTCATTATAATTTAATATGCTTTATAATAACAAGACTTGAAAAAATGTTTTCAAGTGATCGTCATTAGTATCAAATTGGTTAAACCACCGAACGGATTCTTAAACGATAGCAATCCTTTAGAATAAATTACAAAGATAAAAAAAAAAAGGAGAAGGTACATAAGATGATCAAAGAAACGATAAGAGAAGACTCGAGTCAACTGAGAAGAAGTTTTCTTGAATTATTGCGTACGTATTCACTCTCGGAGATTATCGTCTCTATCTTTCCTCCTCCTCCTCTCTCTGACCCTGCTGTCTTCCTTTTTCGCGCGAGGGGCTTATCCTGCATTCTGCGAGGATTAAGGCTGACGGCATTCCTGGGTTTAATAAGTGTCGCCCGAACGACGTAAATTAGTTCAATGTGCTCGAAGGTGGGCCACCTTACCAACATCATCCAGTACCAACACTAGTATACTAACATCGGTACCAACACTACTTTCGTTATCGTATCCTCTCTTCACCCGGTAGCAACAATTCAGAGATGGTGTGCATCGCGTAATTAAAATTACTCCGTCATACTTTACGTCAAGACCGGCTTGCAGAAGCGCAATGTCCCTGCAGTAATTGAAGTTGTCCCAAAGGGTGGTATAGTAGTACTGGTGATAGTACCTGTGCTCTTATCTACTACCAGTGATGAAAAGATTGAAGAGGAGGTAAAGGAAGGAAGGAAGGAAGGAAGTAAGAAGACGACAACAACGTTTACCTTTCTACTGTCAATGATATCAGTATGGTTAACGCGAAAAAGAACGCGATAATTTCTTACTTCGAATAAATTTTTGAACGATTGTTATTATTCGGTCTTTAAGATATTTCGCAATTCGAACATTCATTCTATTTCTAATTTTCAATATATTATTATAATTATATTGATATAACGGCATATAAGCGTACGCATATAGGATAAATAATATATCAAATTTATAGCAATGATTGATACGTAGAACGGATTCTTACCTTGATCGAGGAACTATCTGTAGCGGTGCATTTTATGATCTGTAAGCAAACGAAACATTTGAATTAGACGTTAAAGGTGAATGAGATCGCGCCAGTGTTTAATTTGATCTACGTGGAAACTATCTCGTCATCGTTATTTAAGAAGGCTGCATCGCTTGTAGAAGAAGAAGAAGAAGAAGAAGAAGAAGAAGAAGAAGAAGAAGAAGAAAAAGAAAGAAATACAAGAATGAAAGAAGTAGGTAGGGCTTTAAAGAGTCCACGTTACGACATTCCAAGCGATAAAAGTAGTCAACTAAGGAATTCTTTCTTAGGCGAACAATCCAGTCAGTCCATTAAACTCTTGTTTCCCTTCGAGCAACAAGGATGATCTCGCGTGCGAGGTATCCTCGAAGGAAGAAGGCAAGCAAAGGCGAGAAGAAGGAGCGTTAAAACAACCGCGGCTGCGGCTACGGCGCCGGCATGCAACGGCCCTGGGGCTATTGGCGCGTGGCGGTGCTAATGAACTTCGGAGTCACGTTTTGTAAAAGCACGTGGCACTTTTGTATGCATATACGGTGGAGAGGAAGAGAGTAAGAATATGGAAGGGAGGAGGAGAGCTTGAGTTGTTGCATTAACGTTCGCTCATTATAGTACGTACTATACATTGCGTATGTCCCGCGTACTTCGACCTCGAAGATTATTTTAGTTAAAGAGAGAGAGAGAGAGAGAGAGAAAGCATAGGCTACAGCAGTTTCGTTTTAATGGAAGCAATAACGCATAACTAATGGACGTCATCGATCAAACACTTACTCTATTTAATCGCTTAACATTAATTAATGGTTAGTTAAGTGCCGTATTTTGTAGTCCCCTAGTCGTTTGTTTCAAGTCACCGATACATCGAATTTCGTTAATATCATTTTATTTTAGTAAGTAGACCGGAGTAATTGCGGCCGCATTTAATGGACGTGGTAATGCGTGTACTTATCGAACACCATTTCCGAGGATACCCAGCTTTCCGAGAAATACATATTTACTTATTCGTATAGAGATTTATAATATACATATATATGTATGTTGGTAATATTTAATACAATATTGGTTGAGGGTATCTCATTGTGAGGAGGGGTGGGGTGGGGGGAAATCATTCGTTAACGTAATCGGAATTAGGGGAGCATGGGTAAACGGGAAGGAAGAGAGGAGGCCGCACAATTTGCCAACAAAATGACAAGTACAGTTTCATTATAGTACGGACGAGGTAGAGTCCAGCCAACTCCGCGTTGAACGTTCGTTATGAGAATGCACGAAATCTGGTAGGAAGTCCATTAATTAAATCTTTACCGCCCATCCCTCCCTATTTGAAAAGCGTACGGAAAAGACGGATTCTTCTTATTGTTAAAGAGGAGACGAAACGGTGGACGGCATTTTCCGGTGGAAAGCCGTAGACGTGGCTCTCATTAAAAGTAAAGCTCGAACGAGATAAAGAAAGATAGAGAAGGACGTCATCATCTCGAGTCGACGTCGTTCGCTTACTTGCCAAGAATAACAATCAGGACGATTCGGTAGTAATGGAATTATCGTTTCGGACAGGCCGTTCCTCTTCGTTCCCTTTTTAGTCCCTCCTACTCCTCTTCCTCCTCCTCCTCCTCTTTCTCCGTCTCTTCTACTATTCCGTCATTGAGTCCATCGTTCGGTCTTTCAGGCATGCCGGCGATTTAAGTGTTAATGAACTCCCGCCGAGGAGTCACGTTTGAAAAAACAATGAAGCAAAAGGATAGAATCGCGCGACGTACATAATTGGAGAATCCCAAGGTGGAGTGCGAGGCTTGCAAATTCATAGCTTGTTTTGCCCGTGGACGCGTTGTTACGCGGCTTGTCCGATAACATCGTCGTGGGGTTCATCGTCGGGGTTCATCGATCGACCACGTATGAGTTGTAAGTAAATGTAATTTTCGCACGTAAAGCCGAAAATTTCCTTAACGTGTATACTTTATAACATTCACACGGGACTGTTAAAAATCAGTTCTCCCACGCAATGCAGCCCAACGCAATTCAACGCAACGTAATGCAACCCAAGGCAAGGTAAGGTAATGCAAGGTAAGGCAAGGCAAGGCAATGTAACACGCGTCCTGCTTTCTGTGAACGATTAGATACTTTCTCACGAATAATGCATCCCGCTGACAGGTTAAAGCGAACAAGCTCACGCTTTTCCAGCGTGACACGCTAGCTCCTACAAATGTCATCGACCTTGCCCATTGCCCGCCACTTTTCCGGAGGAAGAAAGATATTATTCTTACTCAACCGTACAAAAAATACCTCCGCGTAAAGGATGCACGCGTGAAGAGCACACGCACTGCTCTTATCCCGCTCGGCGAAGCTCACCATGGGAAAAGGAGGAGGGTCGAGCCCTTCCTCTTCTAAAACTACCGGATCGATCGATTTCGTTCTGTAACAACTGAAACAAAAAAATTAACAAAAACAAAACCAATAATAATAATAATAATAATAATAATAATAATAATAATAATAATAATAAAAGTAAAAAACAATATTTAACGTAGTAAAAATGAAGGTAGCTGTCGTAGTAGTAGTAAGGAAGGAAAGAAGAAAAAGGAAGAAGGTAGGGCAAAATAACGAGAAGAGGCGGAGACGATGTTGAATGGGCCGAAGAAACGAAGATTGGAATGAAAAATAATCACTAGATCGGGTCGAGTTTAAAGGGAATACCTTGGTCGAACATCGATCTCACTTTGCTTACTGGCCGTGGTAAATGTGGTCAATACGTGGCATTTAATTGGAACGTGTACGATGCACGCTGTTAATTAGAGGTATCGATCGAGCTGCAATTTATACTCTCCTTATCAATGATCGCCGATCGATCATCGAATTGTTGTTGGCTGTGGTGAGAACGAACGGAAAGTTCAAAGTATTATCTGTCTTTTCTTTTTCTTTCTTTTTCTCTTATTCCCCTTCTCTTTCTCTTGTACTCGTTCGTTCATTCTTTTATTTCATATTTCACAGAAAATCTACGACAAAGGCTAATCCCCGCTTACGCGAAAAGTCTTTCCTGAGATTGAAAATATCATCTCGAGAGAAAAGCTTAGATTCTCCTCAGGTAATCGTATTCACCGTGAAAATCGCCGTGAAAGGCGTCGAGTTAGTAGCGCCATACTTATCTTTTTCCAAGAATCTGTCCTCTCCGACCACCCTCCTCCCTTCTCCTGCCCTCTTTTATCTAAATCTTATCTCCTGCTTTCGAAATAATTAATTTCAATGTTAAAATGCATCGGAGAGATTCAACCGAGAATTCCTCGGGGGACTTTGTTAAAAGAGTTTAAGTCCGTAGCTCGGTTGGTATTAACCGCGAGGAAAATGTGAAACTTGCCGGAAGAATACTCCAGCGAGAGCCTTTTGGTATTCCGAAAAGTTTTGGCCTTCTTGAATTCGTAAGATCGAGGAGTTTGTTAGAAAAAAAAAAAAGAAAAAAAAAAACGAAAAGAAAATAAAAAAAGAAAAGAAAGAAAAAGAAAAAGAAAAAGATAAAGCCGATAAAAATCGGCCATTCGAAAGTCACCACCCTGTCGACCCTTTCGAGGAACACAAAAGGGAGCTCGATTTCTCCGGCTTCGACGGCTTCCTGACCGACGCGACTACGACGGGACGCTTTTAGAAACAGGAAGTCTAAAAGAGTACCACGTAGACCTCATAGACCTTTATTTTGAGAAAAAATATTAAAGTCTAAAGGTATTCTTGTCGAGGAAAAAAAAGAAAAAAAAAAGAAAATGAAAAAGATAGTGAAAATATCAAAAAGTTTGTAGTACCTTTTCACCCCATTATTTTCTATTTCAAGGAAAGAGAGAAAGAAAGAAAGAGACAGGAGGAGGGTAAATGTTCAATATTGTCGATATAAGATCGATAAATATATTTTTCTAGGAATAAAGATTTCAAGAGAACATAAGAGAGAGAGAGATACATCGAGAATGATGAGGAGAAAAGCAGGACAAAAGAAAGAGGCAACACAAAAGTAGCCCAACCTAATCGGATTCGTCCAAATTTAGAATCGCTTGGAAATAGGCGTACTCCGACCTCTTAAGAGCAAGTTATTTTTGCCCCGATATATACGTTTCCGTACTTTATTCCTGCTGCTGCGGTGTGATACGGTACGGATGCGGTGCAGTGCGGTGCAGCAGCAGCATGACGACCCAAATGTCAATCGTGATATTTCGTTGGAAAGGACAGTCGGTCGAACGTGTCCCAGCATACCAATCAATGATTCGAAATAGAACGCTTAACGTATCTCTCATTTAACGTAGGTTCTATCGAACCTACGAATCGATTATTAAACAAGTCAATTTATTGATTCGTTGAACGAGTCAACCAGTTTACAAGTAACCCTTCTCTCAGTCGGTTCGTCCTCGTCGTAGTCGTCGTATTATCGGGCGATAGTGAAATTCGATCGATTCGCCATGAGAAAAGCGATGTTTCGCCAACTGTCGCGGTACGATCAACCGAAAGAAATTACAAACGAATTTTGTATTTCTGCATACGGTTTGTAACTATCTACTACTGATTTCAAATTTTCCATAACTTACGTCCTTGATATTCCCACATCTTTTACTCCCCTAACGTTGCCTTACATCAAATCGAGCATGTACGCGTAAGCTATGAATACACGTAAAAGCGCATAAAAAGCTTCCAATAGGTGATCGGCTTCTACCATGAAATACAATTTTCCAAAAGGGCATTTACTTTCGTTCTACTCAATTCCCTTTTTCTCTATCTCCCCGCTCCTTTCTCTCTCTCTCCCTCTCTCTCTCTCTCTCTCTCTTTTTCATTTATTCTTTCGCATTCGAATTTAGAGATCGTATTTCGAGAATATCGCGAGAAGTGTATTTCGGAAACGGCTCGCGTCGACCCAGATATTGTGACTTTAATTACGTTCGCTTCGGTTCACCTCATCTTACCTATCTATTACCTATACGAGGTATATAAAATCCATTAAAAATAGATTTTAACCTATAAATGTGAAAATGCAAAAGAGCGGAAAATCGATGAACGATCGAAATGATTTTGATTAAAATTCGATATTGTTTCGATGTAATATTATTATTAAAAGAAACTACTACTTTTAATCCTTCGTGTTTAGGATCACGCTCTTTGAGGATTATATTAATTAATAAATATAAAAATTATACTAAAACAAAAAAAAAAAAAAGGAAAAAAGTTGTTTTAACCTATTGATCAGTTTTTATTTAACGCCAGGATTGTTTTGGCAAAATTATAACGAGAAAGTTCTTTATATTTTGGTCGTTGGCATTTTACACAAAGAGAAAAGTCAGGGTGCAGAGTCGAGAGCTACGCGCTACATAGTGGTCAAAAGAAAAAGAATAAGAAAAAAAAGAAGAAAAACAAAAAGAAGAAGAAGAAGAAGAAGAGAAACGTGGTTGGGGGTTGGGTTGTGCTCTCTGGTCGACGCTCGAAGCAGTTTACCGATGGTCGAGTAGTTACGACGAGGAAGAAGAGGAGTCGGGGTGGACCGATAGTTTTTTCCATTTTTATCGGAAGAAAAGAGCGGTTCCAGTGCTCCGTAATGGAGTCCAGGCACGTATCCGTCGTGCACACGCCAGCAGAGCCCGCGGCTTTTCCAGCCAGTCACCCCACCGACTACTCCGCCAATCCCCGCCACCTATAGCAACCCTCTACCGACGAACTGGAGCTTGACAGACCGACGTTAGAAGTCCTCTCTTTCTCTCCCCCTCACATTCACTCTCCCTCGTACACACACACAGAAGCGCGCGCGCGCGCGCGAAGCACCCCTAAACGCTTTTCTAGCTGGAAAAGATCTGGTCGAGGCGGCATCTCGTTGAATTTTCACCGAACGTCGTATTTCGAAATCGACCTCTTTCACGAAATATCGTTCAATTGTCCTATCTCTTTTATACTCCTCCTCCTCCTCCTCCAATTCGCCATTGGTTTTCTTAATTGAGAATCGTATCCTTCGTCGGACGTTACTTCTTTTCCCTTGAGAAAGAAAGAAAGAAAGAGAGAAGAGGGAAAGAGTGTAAAAATATTACCGTTAATATTTATTCTCACTTACATTAATGTTCTTTGTGATAATAGGAAAAAAAGTTAAGAAAATTATCCTAAATGTCAAGAAAATAGAATAATCAAATAAAAGCTCCAGAGAGAACGATCGATCGATGAAATTTAAATAAAATTAATTCAAAAATAAAATCGCGTAAACTGTAAAACGTCCAATGCGCAAAGTTCCTATCTCTCTCTCTCTCTCTCTCTCTCTCTTTCTCTCTTTCTGTCTTTTCTTTTTTTCTTGTTCTCTTCCTCCTCTTTACACAATCCGATTCCTCTTTTTTGTTCCGTTCTTCGGAATCGTTAGCACGATAGCCGTTATTGGCTTAACGCCCGTGTCGTACGTCTCGTGCGTCCTCTTTTTTATCCTCCCACGTTTCTATTTTGTGTTCGTTGCACCATTTTTTTTTCTTTTCCTAGCACATCTCTGACGCTTCAGATCGATCAAATTGTTTCTACCTGACGATTAGAAGAGAAGAAGTAGAAGAAAAGAAAAACTTGACGGATACGAGAATATTCCTCGAGATCGATTTTTCGATCCGCACGTTCGTTCTAGTTGTAGAAAAACGGAAGGCAACTTGATAGGTGGGTGTACGCGCGCGCATATATACATATATATATATATGTGTGTGTGTGTGTCGTTAAATTTTACACAGAGGAATACGCTTCCACGCTTCATAAATCTCTCGTAAAGTTGGCGTGGACACGGTTGAACGTTCGCACACGATCGGCTAGAATATACCCCTTCGAGATTAATAATTACGACCCTTGTATTTCTCTAACATATCCGTATTGCTACGTAAAATGTACGTAAAGCAAACGAAGCGGAAAATGTTCTCGATATTGTCCATCGTAACGTTGTTGCCCATTAAATTCGTAAGGAGTTTCTTCAATGTTGACTAATGATCAACGTCTAAAGTACTTAATGGTAATAGATATGCTCGTTTATTTGACATTCAAAATATCATTTATGTTCAGTTAAAAATCTCTAACAATATTTTTCTATTTTTTTTCATAAGAAAATTACTATTTTCAATGTACTAACCATTACTTCATAAAAAGTATCAATAATAGTTTATGAAAGTATTGTATTAACAAAATGCATTGTTTTTTCAAATCTGATTTTTCCACATTAAAAATTTCTTTGACGTGCAATAACTCAGATTAGTATAAATTTTAGTTAGTGACTTTTGACCGAACATAGACGATATGTTAATTTCTCTCAAGTTCCATATTTTATAAGGAATATTTTTTTAATACTAAACGTACCACTCTCAAGTCATCGATTTTTCATTTTTAATTGTCTATCATTAGTCTCCCTTTTACGCGTTCGAGTCACTTTTCTACGAAAACCTTCTCATACATATC